TATTTTACAATTTTATTTCCCAATATAGGGGCCTGCCTACTCTTACTACTATTTTGGCTTCATTATTAGCAAGTCAATAAAGTATGCTCCTTGTCTATCTTCCTACACATATCATATTTCTCACGTTCACCAGCACTCTGTTATTATGCAATTTGCTAATGGGAAAGACAAAACTATAGCGGCTGGGAGGACGGGGGGTGGGGGGAGTGAAGACATGGAGGGAGAAACTATGGTGAGTTTATCTTCGTTTAGTTTAAGTGAGTTTTACGGCACTCGCATCATAAAAGGTCATATTATATTACCAAAGATTAGAAACTTCACTAGAGTGTAAAAAACAAAGAAAATAAGGAGAAAATAAGAAAGACAGATGCTTGAAAGGAGAAAAGGAGTAAACAACAAAAGAGTGCACGACAACCACTTACACTGTGGTGAGAGAAACAGAGAAAGGAAGATATAGGGCGAAAGGGAAAAGAGAGTGCGAGAAAGGAGAGACTGATGGCAAGAGAGAGAGACAGACAAAGACACACAGAGAGTGTCAGAGAGAGAGAGAGAGAGAGAGAGAGAGAGAGAGAGAGAGAGAGAGAGAGAGGAAGAGAGAGAGAGGAGGAGGAGGAGAGAGAGACAGGGAGATAGAGAGAGACAGAGAAAGAAAGAGAGAGAGAGAGAGAAAGAGACAGAGAAAGACAGAGACCGAGACTGAGAGAAAGAAAAAAGAGAGAAAGTTATGCAGGCAGACAGGTTGGCAGAGAAGCAGGCAGACAAGGAGGACAAGTAAATGACGGAACAATCACAGAGGAACTAAGATACCGCGATGAAGTAAAACTGAATAAGGTAACAGAAATACGTGCGACACGAAAATATGACTGCCCATTGGAATTGCGAACTTTCATGACTCTCAACATTAACACTGGAATGGCGACCATTTATAATATTGGAATAGCGATCATTTCTAACACTGGAATAGCGAGCCTGCACAACTCCCAAAACTGGAAAAGTGATTTGTTTTTTTCTTTTGTTTTTTTTTTCTTCAGTTCTTCGTTAGAGTTGGAATCGAATAAGGACGGGTATTCTTTTCATCGCAGTATCGAACTTCTGGCTTAAATAAAAAGGATAAGCCTATAGAAAATCCAAAACCCGTTTAACACAGAGCAGAGATATGAAGAATTCGTATAGATTATAAAAAAAAAACAAATATCACGTCTCTACTCAGGAGCAGCTCGCAATTCCAATGTTAGACAATCCATTATTGGTGGAAATAGGTAATGTCGCTCGCCATCCCCAAGTCCTATAGACCCCCCAAAAAAGTATGCATGGGTGTTACGACAGGACTTTAACATAACAGCCAGCATTTTACATGACAAAGCCATATCTCAAAATCATTATCTTGTACAAGTCATGAAATATAGGCAAGCAGAAAAGGATCTGAAACAAAACAAAATCAGTCTTATGCACTCCCTCAGTGTGAGTAGAACATGTATCAGATAGATATGGCTCTGGGGCAGAGGTTTATCATTTATGCTATTTCATGCTAGAACGAATCAGTATCTATTTGTGGTTAATTATGACTCAAAAATTATGAAAGAAATACATAATTTATCTGAGAATCCAAAACAAGTAGGATAATATTAAATATTGTTCGGCAAGCAACCTTAGAGCAAAGCAACTTTTGTATTCATCTTTTGTGCATGTTGTAATCAAACTTGTTATCTCTTGATAATATCTAAACCGAAACAAACTGGAATCTTAAACAAAACATCATATATTATAAAGGAATAAACTCGTCATCCCCTTCCCCCAAAAAGGAAAAAATAGATACAATAAATGAAATAATTTTAAAAGTTTAACATCTTGTCTTCAGCTCATATTTGTTGGCATACAGTTAATTTTTGTCTGACATATTAAACCGTTTAACATTGGAAAGAATAGCAAATGGTGTGCTTAAGTAAACCTGACGTTATGGGTAAATATATCTACTACATTGTTAGCGATAGGTCAGTTTCGTAAGTCTCAGGTCAGTGGAAAAGCAGGGACTACAGGGCGAGCTACCAAAGCTGATACAGACATAGCGCTGAACGACACGTTTGTAGCACACGAAGATGATGATGATGATGATGATGATGATGATGATGATGATGATGATGATGATGATGATGATGATGATGATGATGATGATGGCAATGGCGATAAATAAAACTGCAGCTGCAGCAGCAGCAGCAACAACAGTAACAATAACAACAACAACAACAAAGGCAGCACAACAACAACAACAACAACAACAAT